CCGCTGAGGAGGAGGAGGGGGCTGCGGCGCGGAGCCAGCGGCCGCGGGCAGCGGAGGTGAGGCCGGTCCCTGGCACACCGCGGGGGCAGCGCTGCTCTGTGTCGGCTGCTGCCCGCTGAGGCACCAGGGAAGCTCTGAACAGGCTCACTGGTGAATCGGCTGAGTTGATGTCAGATTACTTTAAAGTCACCCAGTCGTGATATACCGAAAGGCCACAAAGCTCAAACTCTGTAGTTCGTATATCACATGTATCACAGAACGCATCCTTACATGTTCTCTTTTAGTACCGCAGCTTTCTTCAAAGTCTGAGCACCTGTCCCTGTTCCCCAAGACACATAACAGGCTGTACGATTTCTCTTGGGTCTGTAGGTCCAAATTCAGCAGGAACTGGGGGAATGCCGGTGTGCCACTGGAGCTAGGGAGCTCTTTTGTGTTCAGGCAGGGGCCACTCTGAAGGAGTGAAGCTGAAGGAAGCTGAAGCTGAAGGAGGCCCAGCTTTGATCCAACATCCTGGAGGAACCGGTACAGCCCGTGGTTTGATCCCACTGACCACTCCGTATTCTGGGGAGCAACATCAGCTGAAATGACCTCAGCTTGGTCTGAGCTGGACTGCATATTTGCAAAACATTAGAACTCCCTCATGGTGAGAGGTATTTATTTCTGTCTCAAAAGGATGAGAAATGATTTTCTAGAGTCTGTACGACTGAAACAAATCTACCCTGTAAGGGTAAATGGTCTACTGTCAGAATTTTGGACACGTAACATTTTATTTTCTGTTTATTAACATAATTTCTGAAGAAATTTGTAAACTTGAGTAGGACCTTATTATTTAGAGCATGCTAATTTATAGTAAACTTTTTATTAAAAGTGAGTCACCCTTCTCATCTTCTAAGTGATCCAGTAAACAAGACTTCCAGATAATATCTATATGGCATATATTTATTTCAGCACCAACTATACTTATAACTGTTAACAGTTGCCAGTGACATGAAAACAAGTACTTTGGTATTCTGTGAAATTTAATAATCAGTAGAGCTGCCAAATGAAAGAGACAAAGCATTATTTAATACCTTCATCACACAGGATAGCATATATGAAGCCCATCTTTTCAGGGCAGCTGAGAAACAAAGTCAAGAACCTGGCTAGCTTTTTGGCTTAATAAATACATATCTCACAAGAGTATTTGACTAAGCATCTGTTGATATCAAACTGTGTGGTGGTCAAATAGTTTTATTCACCAGCCTTAGTCACGTGTAGTGCAGGTTATTGGAGACCCTGGGCTGAACTTTGTTAGAGTACATATATTAATGTCTGGGCAAGAAGCCTTCTTAATTAAAATAGGACCTAGGAACAGTGATAAAAAATATTAAAGGGTGGAAAGATTGAAAATAAGTGGCAAAGAATATAAGTGATAAGATTTGAAGAGTTATACACTGATAAGCAAAACATCAAAAAAGTATATATATATTGCCAGTAGCTTAATAGAAATTAATTTTTAACTGCTTCAGTGAGAAAAAAACAGATAAGATTCAGACCAGCTGGTAGATAAAGATACTAAACTATACAATGGTAGTTGTATAGAAAAGGAAAATGTGTTTCTTAATTTGGGGTGGGTTTTTTTCTTGCTTTAACTCAGCATAAATACCTGGTACTCCTCCATTTGCAGTACTTCTACTGAGACTCTTCGTAATCATTGAATCATAGAATTGTTTAGGTTGGAGAAGATCTCTAGGAACATTGAGTCCAACTGTTAACCCAGTACAGCCAAGCCCACCACTAAACCATGTCGCTCAGTGCCACTTCTACATGTCTTTTAAATACTCCCAGGGATGGTCACTCAAACGCTTTCATGGGCAACCTGGTCCAATGCTCGACTACCCTTTCAGTGAAGATATTTTTCCTAATATCCAATTAACTGAAACCTCCCCTGACACAACCCAAGATCTTTTCCTCTCATTCTATCCTGTGTTACTTGCTAGAAGAAACTGACTCCTACCTCACTCCAACCTCCTTTCAGGTAGTTGAGGGATGACAACCCCCTCAGCCTCCTTTTCTTCGGGCTAAACACCCTGAGCTCCCTCAGCCTCTCCTCACAAGACCTGTGCTCCAGACCCTCCACCAGCTTCGTTGCCCTTCTCTGGACACATTCCAGCACCTCAATGTCTTTTTTGTAGCGGGGGGTCCAAATGCACTGCACTCAGTAGTTGGCATTTGCAGCATTATTTGTATTGAAACATACATGAGCAAAAGAGCTAGGAGACAGATGTAACCAAGGGATGTATTTTATATGGATTATTGGGTAGGCATTTTGTTTGCACTGGTGCATTTTTTTATTCCTTATCTAAGAAAAAAGAAGGCTACAAAGGAAGGGTGTTTGAGGAGATTAATGAGTACACACCTGCTTTCTGAAGGGCTGCTGAGCTGTGTTAACATTTTAAGTTATGATAAGATCATCGTATTGGAAATACACCAGTAAGAAATCTGTGTAGAATAAATAGCTTCTGATTTTGTGGATCTCGAAGAACATGTAATCCCTCTAGTGGGAAAATTGAAGTAAAGCTAGTACTATTGTCTTGTGGTTTTTTTGATTTTTGTTTTTTTTGGGGGTTTGGTTTTTGTTTTGGTTTGGTTTTTTTGACATAATTCAGTATATTTTCCTAAGAAAAGACCTAAGTAAAATAATTTTGTTTAGAAAGTGAAAATTACATGCAGTTTCCATTCCATAGCTTTTGCTGGATTCTTTGTAATAGGATTTTAAGAAGAAATTCAAAATGGAGCTACAGTTAAACATTACTGCCTTAAACTCTGGTCACAAGTCACATTCATTGTATGTGCCACACTTCCTCACAGGGAACAAAGGCTATTATAAACCCACAACAAGTCACACCCTTTCTGCTTGCCTGTCTTCTCTACTTCTGTCCCTCTGAATCTGGGTCCCTTTAACCCTGACATGAGCTCACACATGATTCAGTCGCCCTGAACTGAAAGCCTTGAGCTACATCATGCTGCCAGTTATGTTCCCATCTGGTGTAGTGGCTGGGAGTTGGTGCTGGCATTCTGAGGCGTCATGCCTTCCTGGCAAGCCAAGTGTGGAATTTGTCCTTTCCAAACTGCAATAAAAGAAGCTAGGGAGGAAGTAGGGAATTAAAGTATAAAGTTCGAATGTCTTGACGTGTTTACTTAGCACAGCTGAGGGGATAAAGAGTCTGAAAGTGTTCAGACCATCGATTCAGAATGGAGGTTTTATCTGTCAGAAGCATTTGACCACTGGCACTGAGTAGAGGGCTTTGGACTTGGTATGTAGGCCCATATGCTGCCACCTATCTATATTAAATTCCAAGGAAATACTCAGGAACAACCCTTTGTCCTGACCACCCTTGCAGGATGTAACAAATATATCCAGAACATACCG